ACATCATCGCGCAACTTATTGAAATAAATGATCATGTTGTCAGAGAAACTCGTCAGACGCGCATCGAGCAATGAATAATCTGTCTCGAGCTTTTTCAATTTTTATTCGCAAACGGAGGCCTTTATGCGCTGATCAACTTCCTCGCTCATAGCATTTAAACGAGTCGTCATAGCTTTACCAAAACTTGTCGTGCGCTTTCCAAATTTGTCAACCTTTTCCAAATTTTTTATCTTTGTTTCGAGATTAGAAAAATCGTTTTTGACTAGTTCTTTATGCACGTGAAAAAGATCTTCCGCGTGTTTTTTCGCCTCCGCCAGCGTGCCGTCCAATTGCGCCTTAATCACCACGTCCGAGCTGTTCGTGCCAGGGCCTACTTTGCGAATAAGTTTGTCGTGAAAATTGAAATTACCGGACGAACCGACTTGCGGTAACGTGTCCAAGAGCTTGGGAGGAATTTTACTTTCGTGCGCGGCCACGAGCGCCTTGCATTCGTTCTTCGCGAACGTCTTTAATTTGGTTTCCACTTCTCCGAAACGCGTAGAGAGCTTCCTCTCGAGAGCATCGAGTTCGCTTTTTTGTTTTTTCACGGTTTCCGCAGACTTACTTTCGTGCGCGTCCGCGAGCGCTTTGCATTCGTTCTTCGCGAACGCCTTTAATTTGGTTTCCTGTTCTCCGAAACGCGTAGAGAGCTTCGTCTCGAGGGCATCGAATTCGCTTTCTTTAATCACGGTTTCCTTGTCATCTCTCTTCATGCGCTTCTCAACACCAACGATTTGTTCATCGACATAACGCTTCGTGACGACCGGACGACCGGACGTCCGAAGACATCCATCGCATTGATACGACTGTGAGTTTTTTTAGGCTTGCGAGTATTTATTAGTTTTATTCATAAGGCAGCAGCAAAGCGCGCGTGCAGTCCACGGTCAGCAACCGGATGTTGCGGTTGATATCGCTGGCAAGCTTCGCTGCCGCGTGCAAGAGCGAGAGCGCCGACGCTTCCACCTTTCGCCGGCAGAGCGCGCACACACACACGCTACCGGCTTTCGCCGACAGAGCGCGTGTGCTGTCCTAAATGGAGCAAGCGAATCTTTTGCATTTCACGCATGCTTAACTCTCGCGTTCAAGGTCTGTTGTGGTTGATACAGCGCGTTGATGCGCACTCCAATTACAGACCGAATGTTGCAGTTGATATCCCTCGCGCTATAATTTTGCTCACTCCAATTACAGACCGGATGGTGCGGTTGATATGCCTCGCGCTATAATTTTTTGCCCTTCGAAAGAAACTCACTCAGTTACGAATCTTTGCAATCGTAAGACGAAGCATGATGCAGCGTGAGAGCATTATGCATTATTTGCGTTTCGCTGACACATACGAAGCACGCTTCTTTCCTACCGATGTTTTCCAGCGCAGCATAATGCATTATGCTGCCGCTCACAATGACGTGGAAGGCATTATATTTTGTTTAAACCGAGGTGAAAACCGCGACATACGGGATATGTATATGAGGACACCGTTGCATTATGCGTACCGCTCACGGGCTACTGTAGCGATAAGCTTCCTACAGTACATTGGTGCCTATCGAGATGCTGTGGACGTGCTGGGCTATAGGCCTCTTGATCTTCTCTATTGGCGGCACGTATACTGCATTTGCCCTGAAATATGTAATTCATGCATTCTTGCACCGCGGCACTGTCATGCTGATGTGCCCCGTCATATATATTCTCGCCTTATAAAGCAGGGTTTCGATGGGTTGGTGCACCACGCAACTCAACAAGCACCTCTTGACGCCGGCCCGCTGTCGCCGCCACCGCCCCCATCACCACTAGCAGTCGCCGAGGAAGGCAACGAGGCGCCGAAGCGTACCGTTGCGACCGTGCGACCGACCGTGCGACCGACCGTGCGACCGCCACCGCCGCCCGCATCACCAATTGTCGGGGGCGGTAACATCGAGGCGCAGCGTTGCTGGCGCTTAAGAGGGCCGCTTGTACCTCTGCGGCGGCCGCACACCTTGCCAACGCTGTCGCCGCCCCGACCGCCGACCGCGTCAACAACAACTCCCTCTGCCGCCGGATCACCGCCGCCGACGCAGTAAAAGTAAGTTTTAACAGTAAACGCAGTACACAAAGTTTAAACAGTTTCACGCAGTAAAAAAATTATTTCTTGACTGTATTTTGATTTTCTTCGTCTCATTGTTGCAGTTGCTTTGAATCACGTCAACCTCGGAGCTTGCATATCGGAGGACACCTTCCACATTGTTAAAAGCCGCAACATAGTGTCTTAATTATGCTGCCTTTATAAATATCTCGTAATATATATAATAATAATGTAATATGTATAGTATATAAATATCAATTATCGTGTTCTCATTTTTAAATAAAGAAAAAACAATTAAAATGCATTGTTTTTATTTGTTGGCCTGTCACAACCTTGCAGGTTATTTTTCTCTTTTTTATCAATAATTTTCATGAAATTTAGTATTTGAATCTTAATTTATTTCATTTAATACATGTTTGGTAATTGACAATATTAATTTAATAATACCAAATAATAATTTAATTCATCTCTTTACTATTGTATTTTTATTTGAGGATTTGAGGAATGAAGTAGGAAATAAAGAAGAAGAAATGTTCAGTTTTTAATATAATATTTATGATTTATTCACTAATGATTACAGTCGTTAAATAATGATCGAAAACCTTTACATCTTGCAGCGATGGTTTATAGGTCAAGTGAAGTGGAAGAGTTGTGTAATGTGACACATTCAGAAAATTTGGTCTGTACTTTATCTTCGCAGTATGGACTGTACTCTTCAGTTCGTTCAAATGCAGAGTTCGCACGTTGTGTTCTTTTTTATTCAAAACATCAACCTCCCTCTCTAGTCGCGTGGTGCCCAAAGAGCACCCCTTTGGCCACCACGCGACTAGAGACGGAGGTCGATGTCTTGCAGAAAAGCGAAGAGAAAGTACAGTCCGAATTTCTGAATGTGTCACATTACACAACCCTTCCACTTTACTTGGCCTATAAAACCTTCGCTGCGAGATGTACAGGTGTTTTCTAGAACACAACATAAAATATACACACAAGATATAGATTATACAAACATAGATTACACACATACACAGATTACATAGATTTTAAGGATTAAACATTACATTTTATGCGTTAATTATTTTATATTGAATGAAATTACCTTTTATATTGGCCCAAACTTTTGGTTTAAATAAGTCCTTTAACTTATATATTAGGACCACGTTTGCATTGTTGGTGTCATTAACACCAACGTAAGATAAATGCGGCCTTTCTTTAAGAAAATTTTCTCGTCCTATTTGTTGAATTTCAGCAGTAAATCTGAAAAAGAAAAAGGTAAGTACACATTTTTTAAAAAAATATATAATTATTTTTTTTTAATTTTAAAAGAGAAGCACCTCGTTGGTATGAAAATGCCAAACGTATTGTTCAGTGTAGCTACATATGATGTTTTATCATATTTGCCAGTTTCAATTAACTTTATATCGGTAATTTCGAAGAACAATCCCTTCGGAATGTTTTCGAATTTAAGCCTGTTGTGTTCCGACTCTGCCTTTCTCTCAATTACAGTCCATGGGATGCAATTAAAATTATTAATTATAATATAATAATTAAAAAAATATTAATTTCATATATGTCATTTATTCTTGAATGATTTATATACTTACTCTTGTGTCTTTTAATGTTTATAAATCAATACCATTCAATTTTGGTTTCCTGGGCGAGTCTCACAGCTTGAGCATCCTGTTATTTAAAGGCCGTTGTCGGTTTCATCCACGGTTGTTGGGGGGTTGAATGGCAAAACCATATACCCATGTTTTCATTACCATGAATGACACGAGTGCCTGTCTATTTGCGTTTCAAAACATCATCACCCGAATCCGAATCGATTGAATCTTCCGTGGTGGTAGCGGATATCTTTCGGACTACCCTTTCTTACCCTTTCTTCCTCGTCTTCCCCCACTCCCTTCCCTTCATTGTTAGCTTCCTCTTCTCCCATTCGAAAGATGGCTGCCCACTTAGCTGCAACCTCCATGTTGCCTTTGACCCAATGTGAACATTCATGGAGAATCCACGTTGCTTGAGCAGTAAGTTATTTTCTTTTTGTTATTAGATGATATTTATTTGTTGTTGTTGTTTTTTTTTCACTAATTCACTGACCCCCCCCCGTTTTGTGTTTAACATATGTTTGTTTCATTTCTTCCATTTTGCTAGAGATCCACTGAGGATGGAAAACTTTTTTCCCGAAAGTTAACTCTGGAAATTGTTAATAAAATTATTAAAACTTTGTGGAGATTATTTCCTTTACAATACGATGATATCTTCGTCTTCGTCTAGCAGTCTTGCGTGTTTATATAATAATTAGGAATTCTCTGTCAAATAAAAAATGTTGTTAACAATGCGTAATGTTGTTCAATGCGGTGTTTGCTGATGCTTTGCATGTTACTTACAGTTTTCGATGTTTTGCATCAGAAGCCATATCTGCTCCCGCCGTGTCCTTTGCTGTGGTCCTTTTTTCAGCCATTGCGTTGCGCTTTTGTGCCTACTGTCACTACAAGCGGTCGACTGTGCGTTGCTCGGATGGGGTCCCATATAAATGCCTGGCTGACGTCCAATTACCCGAGCGTTGTTATCGCTATCGCTTGCGGTTCGGCGAGCTGTTCTTATCACTATGGCTTGCTTGAGCGACCCACGTCTTCCGCTCATTAGTTGTAATCTATGTGGTGCAATGCTGTCGCTCCGATAATGTTATCGTTATCGCTTGCGGTGCAATTAGAATGTACACTTATTATCATGTCAGCGTCTACCGCTTATCGCTATCGCTTGCTCGAGCGACCGACGTCTTCCGCTCATTAGTTGCAATCTATGTGGTAGTCGCTCTGATTGTGTTATCACTATCGCTTGCGGTGCTCCGTCTTCCACTCATTAGCGCTGTGCGTGTATAATCTGTGACGTAATGTGTGGCAATGTTGGCGCCCTGATAATGTGTGATAGTGTGAAGTTTTAAAACATCACGTCTGCAGACGTCCGCCCTCAGTCGCTCGTTCGCTGTCATCATGGATAGCGCGGACATTCTATCGAATTGCTTTTTCGTAACGGTCGTCTTTATAGTAATTTACGCTGTGCTAGTAACGTGTTTATTGTTTTACTTTGTTAAACGGTGTGATTGTGAGTAGTATTGAGTCACTCGAGATGAAAAAATTCTTTTAAATCGTCACGTTCGAGAACAGCGTGAGACTCATGTAGGTCGACAAGCGGAAGCGACTTCTCCGCAGCGTGAGGATGGTAAAATATTTTTGTAGTAGTGGTGTGCATAAGTGTTGCGTCGAATTGTATTCATTTATGTCTTTTGTGTGTGTTTTGTTTGTTTCTATAGGTCAGACAAATCAACACAATCAACAACGAAGTTCTTGTATTGCAAACGCTCTCCAATGGACGGACGTCGCGCAGTCTTTAAACAGACGTGTCCTTCGGGGTGTCATTACGAATCCTCCTCCCCCACACGACATCACATCTCATCAAGTTTCTCAACCGTTGTCGTGTTACCTTCCATTATAAGATGTTTGAAGAGCTCAATAACGCTCTCGACCGACCTAGTTTCAAAATTTTCGCGCAACTCGAGTGTCAGTTTTTGATTGAGAAAGAGAACGTCGAGACGCACGAAATCGTAGGGGTGCTGCAGCCCATCTTTCTTTCGGCACGGACTGCAGTGTTATCGCGAGGGGATGACATTTCGGAATTTTTCCTTTCTCGTATCGCGCATCCTACAAATTCCAAATTCGACTAGTTTTCCGAGAGAGATTCCGGAAAATCGTTGGCCTCTATATCGCTCTTCATGTTTCGTCTCACTTGTTCGAACCTATCGCACATTCTGCCTCTTCTTTTCTTCCTCTTCCGACTACCATTGCGAGACGTCGTGCTGCGATCAACGTGAAAAATCGAGACGAGAAATGTTTCCTGTGGGCGGTGGCTTCGGCTCTTTTTCATAAACGCCAGCCCCCAAACTCCAACATTTTGAATTCTAATCGTACCGATACCTATCAAAGACTTTTCGATCAATTGGAAAACAGTCTCGATTTGTGCGGCATCTCCTGGCCCCTGCCCGTTCAAGAGATAAAACGTTTCGAACGTCAAAATTCTAGCTTTTCCTTTAAAGTTTTCACATTAGAGTTTGATTCGGCAAAAAAATCTTGGAAAATCGTAGGTCCTGTACACTTTGCGGGTACGAAGAGGTGGACGGTCCCATTACGTTTGGATTAAAAATTTAGGTAAACTGATTCAGTCTCAACATTCGGGTCACAAGGGTAGGATTTTCGTTTGCGACAGATGTTTGAATGCATTTCACTCGCAAACGCATCTCGAGGCTCACGAAATCGATTGTAGATCCGTGGGGTCGCCCGCACGTTTGATCCTTCCCTCGGAGACGAACGATGAAGAGCGCTTCATGCAATTTCGACACTTCGAAAAACAACGATGCCCGATCGCGGTTTATGTAATTTCGAAGCACTCACGCTTCGTGTGAGCCGTCTTTGAACGGATCCTTCCTTCAACCGTACCAAATTCACAAACCCTTTTCGGCGGCGCTTCAAAAAGTGTGCTCGTTTGATGAGTCGCGGAATCAGCTAGCCATATTTCACGGTCCCGACGTCGCGATACATTTATTAGCGTTCCTAGAAGGTCTCGCGAAAGATTACGAACAACTTTTGAGTTGTCCTGCACCCCTCGTGATGAACGACGAGGACGAGGAGTCTTTTCAAAATTCCGACGTATGTCACATATGCAAAGGACCTTTTCTTCCAAATGGGCGAAAAGAACTGTATGAATAACGACGGGCTGCGCGTAGTTCACGAGAGATTCATGGCGATTTCCCATAAAATCGGGAATGTGGAACTACGCTTTTTAGACTCTTTGAAATTTTTAGGTGCATCGCTCGACTCTTTAAGTCGATCGCTCGATTCAGCCTATTTGACATTCACCCGTGCGGCTTTTCCCCACGATCGTCTTTTCGCGTTGGCCAGAAGCAAGGTGGTGTTTCCCTACGATAATGTCAACGACATGTCCAAATTGGGCGAAACGAGGTTACGGCCGCCCGAGGCCTTTTACAGTCGCCTCACAGACACACCCGTGTCGGACTCGGAGTACGCACACGCGCAGGCCGTGTTGGACGCGTTCTCCGTTCAAAATTTGCTTTCGATTTGTACTTGAAAATCGACGTCCTGCTAGAAACCGACACGATGGAAACATTTCAAAATGTGTGTTTAAAGGTGTACGGTCTCGATCCTCTGTTTTACTGCACCGCTTCTGGGCTTTCGTGGGACCCCATGTTGAAGACCACCGGTGTTCGACTAGAGCTACTCACGGACATCGACATGGTTCTGTTTTTCTAGCGGGGGATTCGGGGGGGACTCGTCCAAGTGATCGGTCGGCACGCCGAGGCCAATCATCGCTTTGCGGGTGATCGCTTCCGACCAAGTGATAAGGAATCTTATCTCACCTACGTCGACGCGAATAATTTGTATGGGTTTTCGATGTCACATCCGCTTCCGATGGGCGACTTCCGGTGGGTGTCGGAAACCGACATCGAGCTGTTGAACGTTGCAGAGGCGGCTGCGGAAGTCGATCGGAGATACGTTTTGGAGGTCGACCTCGACTATGCTGAAGCCATCCACGATCGCTTGAGCGATTTCCACCCTGTCCGGAAACCCGCGTCCCCCCCGACTCGAAGAGCAGGCAAGTCAAGTTGCTGGCGACGCTGCTGCCCAAGCGTCGTTACGTCGTTCACGTTCGAAATTTACTTCAGGCCCTCGAGTTGGGCGTGCAACTCACGAAAATTCATCGCGTTCTCTCTTTTTCGCAACGACCTTGGCTTGCCACGTTCATGGACCTGAACAACGCGCATCGACAGCGCGCCTCCTTCGATTTCAAAGATAAATTTTATAAATTGATGAACAATTCGATTTACGGCAAGTCGATGGAGGACGTGCGCAATCACCGACGCATTTATCTCGTGAACAAGTGGGAGTCTGGACCCAGACGTCTCATTGCCGATCCCGCCTTCGTGCGTAGTCATCACGTGAACGGCGATCTCATGACCATCGAGTTGCGAAAAACGGAGGTGAAGTTCACAAAGCCCAACTATTTGGGATTTTGCATATTAGAAATTTCGAAACATAGAATGTACGATTTTTTTATAACTACTGTCAAAAACATCTATGTGATCTTCACCTTCTTTACATGGATACCGATTCATTCATTCTTTCTACTTCCACGAGTGTGTACGCTGAGATGAATCGGCATCCATCCTGGTTCGATACGTCCTGTTTCGCCCCCGATAACGTATTTGGCGTGACACCTCGCAATAAAAAGGTATTAGGGCTGTTTAAGGACGAATGCGGAAGTGATCCTCTGCTCGGCTACGTAGGTTTACGTCCAAAAATGTACTCCATCGAAACCCGATCCCGATTTTCCATATGAAAGTCTTTTCAGCGGGGGGAGCGAGCGTCAGCGCTCTCGGCTCGAAAGAGAGAGAGAGAGAGACGCGCGGCTGGTGCGCGCTATGAACTTATATAAAGTGCATTCAAAATGCGCGCGCCGCCGCCTCCTTCTCCCGACGTCGCTCATAGAGTGCGCCACCGCCACCTCCTCTCGTTTCCCGAGTCGCTCACAGAGAGCGCGCGTGCGTATTATCTCTATGCTCACGAGCGCTAATGAGTGCGGTCGCGATAAAAGAAGCCAGCGCGCGGCGCCCGCCGCTATCTTATCAACCACAACATCCGGCATCGCCGCCGCCGCCGCCGTTGCCGTCGGGCCCCTGCTCCGCGTAATATCAGGACCCCTAACCAGACAGCTCTGCTCGAGATGTCGCCGTAACTCAGAGCCAAAGCGCTGGGCACCCCCCCTTCTTAAGCACGCAGGAAACGGGACTGCGGCTGGTTCGAATCCACCCCTTGGACGGCAGGCATTTTTGAAACACACTCACACACCCACGTTACGCACTTCGCCGCCAGAGCGCGCGCTCACGTACACACATACGCTTCCACAATTCGCCGGCAGAGTGCGCGCACGCGCCGCATCTCCACGTCACCCGCCCACGCCCTCAGCTCCTATGACGTCATGGGACGCTCAGGGTCATGCGGGTCTGGGATCAGGAAGTCGATAAGATAAGCTTATCTTATCAACTTCCTGAAAACCAGACCCGCATATTCCCCCTACTCACATGCTAGTCATTGATGTGTTCTTGAATGCTATAAAGAAGTTTTTCCCCAAGGAAGTTTTAAGTTTTTTTAAGTTGTACCAGCCTGTCGTGTATTGTAATTGTGTATTGTATTGGTAATTTGTTGAAGAATTGTGTACCTGAAGAGAATGTACTCTATCAAAACACAAAAGTGGAAATAGACAATGTGTATTTGTGTACAGTGAATCAAACTGATTGTCATAAATTTTTAGAAATATTCATAATTCAAAACCTAACTTGTAACAAATCGACACATTTAATAAAAAACTTCCATATATTCCTCTTGAGATACTTTTCGAGATACCTGAAAACAGATGCACCTCTTTCAGTATATATTGGCATATTCTTATCACAACTTCAATATGGTATATATGGGGAGGTAAGGCACAAAAAATATGGATAGACTATGGTTTTCAAAATAAATTTATCGGAAACATTTTCAAACTGAATCCGACACAGTCCTATAATATCTTGTGAGTAATAAAGAGGTACATACCTACTAGAGGTACTACAAGACCTAGTGGACTATAGAGGACTATACTAGGACGTACCCTAGAAAGTACTCAACTAACAATGATACTTTCTTAATTGCTCGACATTTTTAACAACCTCGCAGTTACCTACCATAAAATCTGCCGATAATAAATACTTCAAAACATTGCTTAAATGTCACGTTGTTAATGTGTGTCCATATAAAATATGTGAATTGTTTTAACTTTTATGTAATTAAAACCCATGTACTGTTACAAGAGTGGCCACCACCGTTTGTACCAGTCATTCAGTTCAATAATGCAATTTACTATTACAATAATGCAATACACTTACAATTATTATTAACATCTAACAGAGGATTTCGGATCTGTTATTGGAGTGGTATAGGGTGACCCCACATAGATGGAAAAAATGTTCCCCTAAACCAAATGGCACATGAGTAGTTCCTCTATAATTCTAACATAAACATAATTTTTTTGAAAGATTTCTTAGCTTCCGACCCGCCACTTGCATCCCTCTACAGTCAGAAACGTGTTTTTTTAATTTAATTGTATTCGTGAACTCAGCACTATTTTATCTGATTGAAAAAATATGAAAAATAAAAATAATGGAAAAATTCCTTTTTTTGATATTTTTCAGCGCCAAAACCAAACGCAAAGAGTATTGAAAAAAGAAAACAAAAATACTTTTTACAGTTTTAACCCTGGAACAGGCATAAAAATTCTCAAAAAGT